AGAGAGAGAGAGAGAGAAAACGGTGGGGAAAGAGAAACCGAGGAAAAAAAAATAAAATAAAAAAAGGTTTAAAAATAAGAATGTTTCATTGTGCAGGAATGATTCTGTGGGCTCGCTAATGAGAAATTTACACTTCGATAATTTTTCCATTAACTCTAACTGAGGGTAGAGGGAACAACAACTCCGGGGGACACAAACAGTAACCCTTTCAAAAAAAAAAAAAAAAGAAAGAAAGAAAAGAAAAACAGAAAAAAAAAAAGAAAAATCGTAGAGGTATAAAAGGGACACGACGCCATATCATGACATTAAAAAAAAAAAAAAAAAACCACCAACGTTTATTATTATTATTATTATTATTACCATCTTTACCAATTATTATTATTATTATTATTATTATTATTACGTTTACGCGAAAAAAAAAACCAAAACAATTCATTCGGTAGGAAAACTTTCTACTTTAGCGAGAAAAAAAAAGGAAAAAAAGGAGGGAAATTTAAGGAATTTCATTTGATTCGCGGCATTTCACCCCCTCATTTGCCCCTTTTTTTTCCCTAACCTTTACGAATCATCAGGAAATTGAACTTTTCAATGTTGAATTTGAGTTGTAATGAACCTTACACATCACTCAAACCAAAAATTTTATATTTATAAAAATCATTTAAAAAAAAGAAAGAAAGAAAAAAAAAAACTTTTCTTGTTCGTTTCGGAAATTAGAGTTTACAACAAAGTAAGAAAAAGAAGCAGAAGAAAATTTTTTTTCTTTTTTTTTTTTTCATTTTTACAATCCGGTTTGAAAATTTTTATTTTATTTTTCTCAACGTCCATTACACGGTTTATTTCATTGATTTTTTTTTTCTCTCGATTTAATAATAATAATAATAATAATAATAATAATAATAATAATATTTATCGAACGCAATTTGCAACAATAAAAAAATTAATAATAATTAAATAAAAAAAAAAAAAACGGTTCAATTTAATTAACGTGAAAGAGTTTTTTTTTTTTTTTTTTTTTTTTTGAAAAAGCGCAAAAAAAAATTAATAAATGAAGAAAAACTTTTTTTTTGTGTGTGTGTGTGCGTAAGGGGGGAAGGGAGGGGAAGGAAATGAAAAGAAAATAATAAAAAGAAAAAAAAAAAAAGGGAGCGGGGGTGAACGATTGGGGATGAGTGAAAGAAAAAAGCATTTCCCTGCTTACATCATACAAAACGTTGAATTCTATATAATAAAAAAAAAGAAAAAAAGAAAAAAAAAAATTAAAAAACTGTAAAGTATTTTATTAAAAATAATGGTTAGTCCCTTTTTTTATTATACGAAGAAAATCTAACTTTTTTTTAATTAAAAAAATATAATTAAATTGGTTGTAGAACAATTTCTCCCGCGAGATAAATCCTCCTGAAGTAGAAAACAATTTCCTGGTTGGCTCATTTCATGTATTTCCCATCCCCTTCCCTCCCCTCATCCTTCTCTTACCCTCTTTCTCTCTCTCATCATCTTCTTTTACCTTCCCCCCTCGCTCCCGGTTCCCGGTTCCCTCTCTCTCTCTCTCTCTCGTTTTCCCTCTTTTCCTCCTCCCTCCTCCCTTCTCCCTTCTCCCTTTTCCACAGCTCACAGCTTTACGCTTGGCCCTCATTAGGACCAAAAGGAATTTCATTTGAAAAATTAATTACGCGCCAGTTTTAGCCTAAAATTTGCGTTCTTAATAAAGGGAGTAGTCGACCTTCCATGTTTTTCTTTCTTTTTTGTGTAATTATAAAAAATCCGTCGTGTTGTCGAAGGGGGGGTGGTAGTGGTAGTAGTAGTAGTGTCGACAATGTCGACAAATTACTAAAAACTTTCATTACATAAAAAAAAAAAAAAAAAAACTTTTTTACAATGGCAGTAAATGCATTAAACTATTAAACGCTTTCATTATTATTAAATTTTAAACTTGATAATAATAATAATAATAATAATAATAATAATCAATTATTATTATTATTATTATTATTATTATTATTATTATTATTATTATTATTATTATTATTACCTTTTTATTAAATTTTTCACATAACATCACCTTGCTATTTTTTTTTATTAAATTATTATTATTACTCTTTGATCATGTTATCATTATTATTTATAAACAAGAATTTACGAGATGAAATTTATTAATTGAAAATAATTTTTTAATTTTAATTTTTCGTTCGTTCGTTCGTTATCGTCATCTCCTATCAATCAATCAATCAATCAATCACTCTTATTTTGTTTATATTTTACCGATTCGAAAGAATTATTTCTGCATGAAAATTTTTTTTTTTTTTTAATACTCTCTTGCTCTCCCTGTTGTAATTAAAATAATTACCACGACTTTATTATTATTATTATTATCATTATTGTAAATCATTTTGCTGTAGATAAAAAGTAGGTGGAGGAAGGGGGAAGAGGAGAAGTAGAAGGGGAAAAAAATTTTTTTTTTCTTCTGGAATATACGTTATTATTTAATGAGAATCTGGAAAAAGCATTTTCTCATTACGGATAACGAGGAATAAAAAAAAAAAAAAAAAGGAGGAGAAGGAGGAGGAGGAAGAGGATGAATTGAAAACCCTCGTGGCTCGTTAGTTTCTGTATCCATGGACAGGCAAAGACGTGCCCAAACTTACTTTTCCAATTAAAATAAAAAAAAAAAAAAAAAAAAAATTTTCCTTTTTTAAAAAAAAAGTAAATCATTAAACTAAGAAATCGAGTCCAGAAAAAAAAAAGGAATCTAAGCTTTTTTTTTTACATGCAAAAAAAAAAAAAAATTTATATTATTTGATGAGCCTGGTGAAGAAAATCAACCTTAAATTTTCCCCCTTTTTTAACTTTTGTATTATTATTATTATTATTATGTAATCCACACAATAATAATTAATTATTTAATTTTAAAACGATAATTAAGAAAAAAAAAAAAATTAAATTATTAATAAACATCGTTTAAAACAACATAGAGTAATAAATGATAGAAACCACGTGACGTATGTACGTTTAATATATGGAAAATATTTTTGCTTACTTGCTTGCGTTCGATAAATATTCGTTTAAATTAATATAAATTTCAAAACGTTAATAAATCTCTTATCATTATTATTATTATTATTAGTATTACGATTAAAATTGATTTTAAAAAGCGTTTTGTAAACGAAAAACAATAATAATAATAATAAAATTTAGTTTTTTTTTACCTTTGATAGATCCCGAATATACGGAAATAATCCTGTCAATGAATAAAAATTCACAATTCAAGCACACTTGCTTATTGCCTTTTATATAACCAACTAACTAATTATTTTATTAACTTATTAATATACACAAATATAAAAACAACAATTGATTGCATTAAATTAATAAATAAATAAAATATATTTGTTAGGCCACGCGGGGGTGTGTGTGTGTGTGTAAAAACCGGGAAAAATTATTATTATTATTATTATTAATATTACCACTACAACGGGATTGATGAAATGAATCAAACGCGTATTAAACCCACTCAACGACTGAAAAGATTACTCTTCCGGTTCCGGTAGCTTTCAGTTTTTGAAATATTCGGGTCTTTTCGGTCATTTTCGTAACTAAACGATTTTCTCTATATACGAGAGAGAGAGAGAGAGACCAACTTAACTTTTTTCTTTAGAATTCAAGATGGCGACAATTATTTTATATAATTTTTATAAAAGATATTTTTTTTTTTGTAATTTTTACGATAAGAAATTAAATGCGGGCGTTTATTTTTTTTGTAATAAAATTTGTTTTAAAATAATAATAAAATATTAAATATTCTTTTTATATATATATATCTTAAAACAATTAATGTGAAAATGTAATTTTTGTTAAAAGGTAATAATATAAATGTTTATATATATAAAATGATAAATACCGATTATTTGAAATATACCTTTTTGTTTCGCAAAAAAAAAAAAAAAAAGAGTAATAACATAAAATTGCAGTCAACAATAAATCTTAATTTTGTCAGCTGTGGTAAATTTATAGCGGTTAATTAAACTTTAATTTTACTTTGTTATAAAACTCGTATAAGAAGTTAGAAAGAAAATAGAAACTTAAAAGCCACAATTACGTTAAGAGTAATTTTTTTTTTTAAATGACTTTACTTTTCCGTTTAAAAAACATTTATGTTAAATGTCTTTTTATGTTTTTTTCAACCCCCAAAAAAAAAAAAATACGTTAAAATAAAAAAATATTTTATTACAACTGTATTATTATTATTATTTTAAATTAATTATGAAAAAAAAAATTATTATAATTAAAGAAAATAATAATAATGATAATGATAATGATAATAAATCAAAAACTATACTATATACCTTTAAATATATTATATAATATTAAAATTCAAAAATAAAAACTTTTTTTTTTTAATAAATTTTTTAATAAAATTAAATTAAAAAATTAAAATAATAATTTAATTTATTAAAAAAATTAAAGGGGAGATACGGGGGGGGAGGTAATAAAAAGAGCAACCGTCTTATAATTCGTTACTTTTTCTATAAAAAAAAAAATTAAATTTCAATTAAAATTTTTTATTTTATTTGAGTTTAATATTAACAATAGTTACCCAACATATATATTTTTTTTCCCCCTATTAAAACAAAACAAAATTTTATTTTAAGAAACAAAAAGTCATCTCAAAACGTTTGTAACGTAAACTTTAAAAATTATTTAAATAAAAATGACATTTATTATATATAATAAACGATAAGTGCGATTTTTAAAAAATCAATCAAAACACATTTTGTAATAATAATAATAATAATTGGTTTTCTACTAATGACTAGCATAATTGCAGAAACTTGAAACAAAGATGGCCACCGAAAATAATACCTAACGGTCGTTGAAAAAATTATGTATTTATGAGCATTATTTAAGGTTTTTCGAGAAGAAGAAAAAAAAAATGCGTAAATGATTATTTTGAAAAGACTTATTTTAATTTTTTTTTAGGCCAGTCACAAAAAATATCTGTCTAATTATTCTAATCCTAAAGCCCAATTAATTCCTTGAACCAAGAAAAAAATGCAGGGTTGCCAAGCCACCAGCCATCGTATCCAATCCAGTAGTTGACCATATAATACGTGGGGTTTTTCCCATCTATAAATTCACGTTAAGATAAGAAAATGTAGTAACTGAATGTTTATCATTCGAAAACCTCCTGAAAAAGTTTTATAAATATTTTACATTAAATACATTTTTTAAAGGATACGGATTGCAAAACATTTTTTTCAAGTCGACTTTTTCTTTGCAATAAGGGCACGTTTGTTTTTTACCAACGATGCACCAACCCCGAATACAAAATTCGTGAAATCTATTTATACACATAAGAAAAATATAAAATTTCATTAACAAATAAATAACGAGAGGGGGTAGTGTTTCACATTTGAAAACTACCCCCGAGGAAATGTGTTGTTAAAAAATTCAAAAAGGATACACATGACCACAAGACAATTTATAAGTGCTTTCTAATACTCCATCTTCGTTTAAAGGAGTAAGCAACTTATTCCCACAAACTGCACATACATTACTGTCCAAGCTTCTTGTAGGCATACCTTTAGCATTGTAATACTACCTCATAAATAAATTAAAAAACAATAATTTAGAATAAAATTATTATTATTATACAATCATTAAAAATTTATAATTATGTTTACTTAAAACTATAAAAGCAGTAGCATATAAATTACACATGTGTCACTAAATTGTTAAACGAATAAAAAATTTCAATACCCCAATATGAGAAGCCATTTTATCGGCACATATTTCAGCTATATCTCGACCCAAAACTCCATAATAGAGACCATAAAACAAGAAAAGTAAACCACAATCCATCCACAAATGAGGTTTAGAATCAAAAATTAAATTTACACCTAAAAATGTTGCCATCAATATGATGTATCCTATAATACCAAGTCCATAACTAAGTTTGTAGAGGAAATAAAACCATTTGTAAACTAGCCTAAAATACACAAAATAATATTTAAAATTAATCAGAAGTAAAACCTTTTTTTTTTTTTTTTTTCATAAAATACTTATTCTTATTAAATCGAAAACTAGAATACATAATTTCATTGGATTACATATATTTTTCGTAAACATATTGTTGTAATGTTTTAATATACATTTTTACCTTTTGACATGTTATTTACAATAAATCATTAAATTTATATTTGCTGATAAGGTTAAAGAAAAAAAAATTACAATATTATAAAGTCAATTACCTAGGAGTTGTTCCTTCGATAGGTTTTTCCAAACTTTTTCTAAATATCAGTCCAGTAATACATGAAAATACTAGCCAAATAAAAATAAATCTCCACGATTGATTTTTTAAACAAAATATTATTGGAACAATCCACATTCCGATAAGTGTCACTAATTGATACGATTGATAGTGTCTTTGCTTCCATTGAACAAGAACTATTTGGGCAACTACCAGAGTAACAATTAGAATAATTACCATTTCAGCATGCATCGATTCATGGCCTCTGTGTCGCTCATGAATTTGTATGTGTTCTAACCTAAAAAAAAGTAAAATAAAAGTTTTATTCAAAATAATTTTCAACAACAAAATGCACATGTTAATCTTACATAGATCTAACGATAAGAGAAAGACTTAACAAATAAAAATTGCAAGTTTTTTAAAAATTCAAGCACTTATTTTTATGAATTTATACAACTGATAATATATATTATAATAACTTTTACATATAAATAATAATTAAATATTATTTATCGTTTATCAGAAAAAAATCTACACCCATAAAAATCAAATGTTATAGTTATATTTACAAATACATACGAGATAATGATTCAATTAGTGTACATATTTACAAAATCCCCCAATTATCCTTACGTCATTAAAATAATTAACTTAATAACTTATTAATTATTTTAAAACCGGTAAAATTAAAAAGGCGCCAGTAACACTTGACACTTATTTTAGATTAAAAAAAAAAACTAACCTCCATTTCTCTTCGGGAGTTAATTCGCCGGCAGTCTTAAAAAAAAAGAAAAAAAAAACAAAATGATAATTAAAACAGATTAAATAAATATACATTAGCTAAAATACAATATGGATATATTTTTATTTTACCTTATTCTCAAGTTCTTTTTTAATTTTTTCAATATAATTGTGATCTCGAATAACTTCCATCTTAATTGTTTATGAAATAAAAATGTAATCGTGGCCATAGATACAAACGCCAACATAAATTTATAAAATTACCTTTTAAACATTTATTACATTATTTATACAAAAAAAAAAAAAAAAAAAAACCGTTACACGTTTTATAATATGTCGATCATTATTATTATTATTTAATAGAATCAAATGATTTCATTGAAATTAACCATCTATTAATAAACATCTTTTATTATGTAATTCAATTTAACATTAAATTTATTTAAATTTCATTAAAGTTTATTTACTTATTATTTCATTATTGAATTTGTATCATAACTCCATTAAATCATGATTTAAAATAATTTGTGAAAAAAACAAATACTCACTTAATTACTTTAATTTTCCAAGATACTTTATGTTTGCGGATTAATCAATAAATAAATAAATAAAAAGTTAAAATGGGTTCAAAAGCTGTTCAATTTACCGAAGAACAATTAGATACTCTGGCTCAAAATGAGTTAGATCGTCTACAAAAAGCATTTAGATTTATGGAAAATGACAAAGAAGCATATTCAGAAGATGTAAGCCATCTTTCTTTTTTTACATTCTTTAATTGCTTACTTATAGAAAATTAAAAAAAATTTTTTTTTTCGCTTTATTTAAGGTGAGAAAGATAATAATAAGGCAAAAAACAGTTTTGTCACATTTGGAAAAAGAAAAAGAAGAATTGAAAATAATGTTAGCTTGTGGAGATAATAAAATATTAAAAAAAAAAGAAGAGGGAAGGGTTCGTATATTACAACAACAGTTAAAAGAATTCGACGATGTTGGACGTAAAATTAAAAAAGAAGGTTTGGAACTTAAAGAATTGGGTCAAAAAGTTGATAAAGTTGAAAAAGAATTGAGAGATTTTAAAATAAAACATAAATTACAAGATAATTCGATAGAAGAAATTAAAAAACAAGCTAAAACTGATGAAAATTTAGAAACGAGATTGAACGTTGTAAGTTTTTCAACCATTTTCTTCCATAGGAAAAATAAAACTTGTAGCAAATGAGAAAAAAAAAAAAAATTTAAATAAAAATTAATACAAAATAATTTAGGAAACAATTAAATTTAATAAATTAATTACCGAAAATCAATCGCTTCGACAAGAAATCGATCATCTTCTTATTGAAAGAGGAAAATTTAATTTGATGTTTCAACAAGTTGTTGGAAAATTAAATTCTGGAAAAAAAGTTTTAATGGATTTAATTGAACAAAGCACAATGGCTTATGATAAAAGGTATATTTTTAACTAAAATTTTTAATTTTTATATTATAATTATTAAAATAAATTTTTTTTTATTATTGATCAGAGAAGAAGCTCTTACAAAATTGGAAGCATTGAAAGCAAGAGCAAAACAAGATTTGATATTACACAGTCAAGAAATGAGAGAATTAAAAAGAAAATTAGATAATGAAACTAAAATACATGATTTTGTTGGAGCAAAAGGCGCGAAAAGAATTAATGTTGATTTAGAAGGAGCAATAGAATCTAAAAAAAGTAAAAAAAATATTAAAATAACGGTTAAAAAAATAATAATAATAATATATTACCAATTGATTTTGTTTTTTTTAAAGGAAAGGAACGCGAAACAAAAGAACTTCATTTACAAGAATATAAAAAAATATTAGATGATATTAAAATGTATTTTCAAGAATCTGATGTTGAAAGAGTTATTTCATCTTATTTAAAAATAGAAGAAGATAATCTTAATCTTTTCCGTTTTATAAATGAATTGAATACTCAAGTATGTTAACAGAAAAAAAAATAAAAATTTCAAGTTTAAAACGATTGTTTAAATATAATTCTGTTTTAATATTTTAAGGTTGGAGTATTGAGAGAACAATTATGTGAAACAAGGGAACAAATAGAAAATCAAAGAGAAAAAAATTTGCAGACGGAAAAGGAACAAGTTGATGTTCTTATTAATTTACATGATAAATTAATTGTTTGCGTTCAAGAAGCTGATGAAGCTGATGAAAAATTTGCTACATGTAAAACAATTATTGATCAACTTTTAGATGGTTTAAATACAGTTTATAAATTTATACAATGTGATCCATCACCAATCATGTCACTCTTGGGTAAAATTTTTTTGCTTGTTTTGTTTTGTTTTAAATGTTATTTAAGGATAATGTAAGGTATGATAATGATTATTTTCAGGTTCGAACACATCAGCAAACATTTACAATTTTGATTTGTTTCTTAACATATTGGAAAAACGTGTAATTGCAATTGTTAATCTTGCTTGGTATTTATCATATTCAAAAGTTGCTGTTAAAGCAGCCAAAAGATACCCGGGACAAGTGAGTTATTTGAGAGAACCGGTAATGAGAGAAATAGTACCTGTCATACCTAACCCTATAGATGCAAATAAATATATATCTTCTCAACCGTGTCCTCTGTAAGTATTACTTTCAAAAACTGTTTGGCAAGCAAGCAAGGTTCGATCGGACATGATGAATTTTTTTTTTTTATCAGGTGTACACAAAAAGATGACATATCTGAAGTTGATGAAACGATTGCTACCCCAATGGAAAAGAACGAATTGATTGATTTAGTAAAAGAAGTTCTTTTTAGTGTCGAATATGAAGATAGAATGCATAACGTATCCGCTTGTAAATTACCAAAATCAAGAAGAATTATGCAAAGAAGATTCCAGAATTAATTTATTTAGAAAGAAAAGAGTAATAAACATTTTTTTTTGTAAATCCGTGTACATATATATATATTTTTTTATTTAAAAAATTTTTAATAATATAATAAAAAAAGGAAAAATAATAATAATAATGATGATGATGATGATGAATATAAAATTATCTGCGCATGATTTTTTTTTTTTTTTAAATTTTGGTACACAATACCTTGGAAACAAAATTTGTT